TCAATCACAACACTAGAACATTCACTATGACTTAAAAAGAACAGCTATTAAGAATTCAAATCTCTCTTTAAAGTGTGAGCACCTAAGCACCCACAATTTTCTAACCATTATGTAAATGGCTAGTCAGGTATCATATCTCCCAGAAAACAAAAAGGATATACTTAAGAACATCAGGGTTTCTTTTTCACCTATATTAAGAGTGATGCTAGTCTGTAATATTTATCTTTTTAGGACAGTTTTAACACGTTCTCTAACCAGAACTCTTCTAATAGAAAAACCAAACAAACTCATTACCTTTATCTACTGTGAAGTTAGGAGTGGGACTTAGGTTGTTTATAGGAATTTTCTTTTTGCATGCTTTTTGGATCCCCATCTTTAAGTCTGGCATAATCAACCAGGTAGACTTCCAGGTAGACTCCTGAAGCCATCTGTCTGTAGTTGGCTTTTGTTTAACGTTACATTTCCCCTTTCTTACCAATGGAAGAAAACAGCTCAGTCTTCCAACTGGTAAGAAATTCTAAAGAACTTCCCAGCTATGTATCAATTACACACGCATTTATCATCACACCAAATATTTTAAATGATTATTGCTTTTTAGCAGAATATTAGAAAACAATGAAACTATAAAATTCAGTATATGAGGCATTTTTGTTTTAGTTTATAATCTTCACAAGTTTTAAAAACACTATCAAACATTGAGAATTACACCTTCACTTTTACAATTTGATTTTTTAACTGCAACTGAAGTATGTATTGACAAAATGGCTTCCCAAAGGTACAAAGGATTAGGGGCAGACCAAGACATGCTACCCAGACTCCTCACTTCTTCCACCATCAGGCAGTATTTCCTTCAGAAGAGAATCTAAAATTAGAGGACAAAAGTTGCCTGCAGGGAGTGATCTACAATTCATTCTGGTGTGGTATTTTTAAAGACACGTTCAGCAGTGACTGACCTGAGAACTCCAAAACGTTATAGTATGTTCCTCACCTAACCCTCACCTGATAGAGCTAAGAACCCTTCCCCCATCCTTTCCTATACTCCACATTTTAGATGTTAAGAATAAATCTGATACTTCAGACAACAAATTCCTTCTTCATTTGCAGAATCTATTTGGAATTCTACTTGAGGTGGAAATTTATGACCTGAAACCTTGTAAAATTTCTTCAGAAATCACTCTGAATATTTTATATAGCTATTGCTATATCTTTGAGTTTTATTTCTTCCTAAATGAATACCTAATAAAGTAAAATTATCTCAACACATTTACTTCTGTGTTCACGATCAACTTGAATTATCATCCTACATAGTAAATGAATAGATCTCTCATGCACAAATCCATACGCTACAGCAATGTTGTTAAGGCAGAAGAGATTTAGAACTCCTCTAGGACATGCACTATGAGATTTTACCTTCACCACATGATATTGGTTGTGCTTTCCCTGATCCTACCATAATACATTTCTATTATACCATTAATTTGCAGAACACTTTACAAAAACATCTATAAGGTATGTCTCACTCACACATGACAACAGTTCATGAATAGAAGTCATTAAAGGAAGTGAAATGTGAGGGGGCTTATTTTGAAGAAATTTACTTCAAAGAGGGGGGAAATGTCAGACAATGACTAAATTTGTTTCAGACTTAGTAAGAGAGCACAGTGAAAAGCTCAAAGCTGAAGGATAAAGAAAAGCAATCATATTCATACACAAGAAATTACAAACTCCAACCCTTACTTGTATTATTTATTTGAGTTATTCATGACAGCACCTAAAAAACAATTAAGGTAATGCCTCACAGTGCCAGACT